ACTAAGTTAGTCGAATAAACTTAAATGTGATTATGCAACCTACGTTAAAAAATTGTCCTTCAGAAACTCCATCTCGATATACAACAATACGCGTAGGTTTGAAACGTGTATTGCGATAGAACTGCACTAGCAGTTCTCGGACCATATATGTGAGATCAGAGATAATCTCCTGACGATGCTGTTGTACACGTACAGTAGCAGCATATCTACATAAAAACAATATAGGGAAGAAAAGCAAGGATAAAGGGAATCGTATTAACAAAAGGTTAAACCTGCTCGGATGTGCATCCATACTTGCCACAACAGCAGCGATTGATGGTTTGCGAGAGTCGCCCGCTGGTGGGTGGGTTATATCACAACCGAAGAAGATAACTGTAATAATACCGATTAGAAAGGCGGACATAAGAAAATAGGGAATAAACACTAACCTGGCTCATTGAAGATTCTTGGACGTACTGCTGGCAATAAAATGCTATTTACACCTCCTAGTTTCACATTCATCTTCAAACAGAGATTCGACAAGGTTTGTGGCGTGGTTTTAATTACATTTTTTGCTTGTACACATTGAGTAGCTATGCCAAGCACTGTATCACCAACGCGTTTCACTTCCGCTGAAGTACGAATTATTATATTGACTACACAGATATGTTGTCAAGATTTACCGTAGACGGGAGTCTTTCCAGGCAAAATTACAACAACCAATTGGATACCCGAGAATGTTTGTTTGAGGTACTTGAACATCGGTTCCACTTGATCCACACCCATAGCATACCTGTAAAGCAAAAAAAGTAAAATGGGGTTCACAAGCTTTAGACGCCGATTCCATTAACTTTACAAACAATTTATCCATCTTGGTTCATTTAGTCATGAAGAAAGATCTTGGAAAATGACGGTAGAATCCGAGAATAAACTCACTTGCAGAAACAAGGCTGCCCAACAATCGGCATACCAGCGTCATTCGATATACGTTGCAATTGAGCCGTGAAATTACGTAGATCATTCTCCTTCACATGTTGCTGCTGCGCAAAACATGCGATTGCCCACACCTAAGATGGAAAACTCAACTATGCCGGTTGCTTCCAACTTTTAATCGAAATTTACCTTCACATCAATACCAGTGTGGAACTGCTTCCCACGCATATCCCAAACACCCTGATTCGGTAATGCAGTTGCTTTGTTTCTGCCACCATACTGAAGTTTTGGAGCTGACAAAACCCGCCCTTTCACTTCAGTCATTGCCGAGTTGATGGC